TTTGATGAGTGGTCGTCCGTGTGCGATTGAGGTGAAATGAGGGCTGCGGGTTGTGCGTTGATTGTTGGCTTCGAATGGTTGGAGTTTGGTGTTGGGGGCTACAGCTTGGGTGGTTCGAGACTGGTGGTTCTGGGTTGAGGGTTGGTTGGCTCCAGCTTGGGAGGCTGCAGCTTGTGTGTGCTTGCACTGGGTTTGGCTGGTATCGTTTTTGTGTGGAAACATCACGGTGATGATGGTTCTGCAGTTATGTTGATTTCCTGTTGATGCTAGAAATTAATGTTCTAGCATCAATAGTGAAATCACAGTTAAGTTTCATGTTGATGCTAGAAATTGATATTCTAGCATCAACCATGCCTTTCCAAAATGAGAGTTAGAGGAATTTCATTTCTTACCCAGATTTCTTGGCTCTGTGAATTGTGGAGGAGTAGAGGATGAGGTTGATATATGAATAGTAATGATTATGGCACAAATTTCTAGGCGGGTAATTGGGCCAAACATTTGGGCTTTTGGAAAATATTCTAATTGGAATTAAGAGTAATGGACTGAAATGAATTTGGGCCTAAGGAATATAATTTACATTTTTGGACTTATGTAATTGGACTATAAATATTGGACTATAAACATTTGGGCCCTAAATATTGGACTTGAAATTATTAAAATTTGATCCAAATAAAGTAAATCGGAATTGACACTAAAATAATTATTCGATATTGGTTCGATTCGAAATAATTTAAATTCGTTTACAACGGCTAGACGAACACGTTCTCACTTTAACGTTAGGGTTTAGCGACATGTTTTTTGAGAAATAATTTTATTTTATTTAAAAGTTCTCGGTCGCTACATGTACTGTTTTGAGAACTGAATGTTGATTTTTTTTTAATATAAACTTGAATGGCAGAGAAGCAATTATGCGCGTTGTAATTTTTTCTTGTCAATGAACCGCACCAACATTTCAGAGTTCCCTTTCTTGTTTCCTCCATCTTTTTCTAGATTTTACTGTTGGGTTGTATTTGAACAACAAAAAATACCCTTATAATGTTGTAGGATGTGTAAAAAAATACCCTTATAATGTGTAAAAAAACATAGCTCAAACAGACGACATAGCTATCCAGGTGTTTACAGAATTTTGATTACCAGTTAATTACCATCATAGAAGATCGTTGCGAGGATGGCTGGATCCCTTTTTTGTTGAGTGCACACACTTTGCTAGCTGTGCGTGTAACCTTGCTATAGAAGGCGATCATCAAAATTTCGCAACAAAGTGAAGTGTGAAAATTTACAACTTCTCATTATTTACCATATGGGAGTTCTTCCTTGATGGACAGGGTTGCAGCTACTGATAAATATCAATTTTTTCCCACTTTTTGGGCATAATGTCTGATGTAAATATAAATTCTTTAAAGACAATTAACTAGGTTTTTTTCCTACTTAACCATAACTAAGTTCTCCTTTCTTCTTAGATATGGTTTTGCACGTACTTATATTTCAGTACTTCACTGTATGAAATGTCTTGCACGTACTTATATTTCAGTACTTCACTGTATGAAGACCTATTTCACACTTATCATATTAAACATTCCTATTCTTCGATTGAGTTGGCATGATCATTTGGATGAAAGTTGAAAATGTATGTGAAGTGCAGAGAGATTGACCTAAACTGGTGCTATTACATTTTATAGAAGAAAAGATACAATATACGGAAGTAGGAATTTATTTATTTATTTTTTGGAGAGGTCCAAAATAGAGAGGAAGACAATCAATTTGAAATGTTTCCTGGCGCCTTGTATAGAAACTCGAAGTTCATTTGTCTTCTGATCTTCTCTATTCAACGTGTTTGACTAAATGCTTTTGCCATTACACGTTACAATCAGTCGACTTCGATTCTATCTGTTTAAAGCTCCAGTGAATAAATATTATATATGAATTTTTTATTCAATGACATTTTCACTGAGCATGAAAAACCTAACATTGCTAAGTATGGAATGACTTCAACAATGTGATTATATTTGCAGGAGGTGCATGACTACTTGAAGACTATTTGTCCAGACTTGCATATTGCTCGAGGTGAATATGATGAGGAGACACGTTACCCGGAAACAAAAACACTTACTATTGGTCAGTTTAAGCTTGGAGTGTGCCATGGTCATCAGGTGTGATTTCATTTCCTGAGATATTTTATCCTATCTTGAGTTGAGGATTGTTATTGGTTTTCCTGATCATCAGGCATGGACTGTAGTTGGTTTTTTTTTGGCCTTGATCTTCTAATGAAACTGAAAATAAAATTTAAAGGCTAAAATTAAACTTTTAGAAATTAGGGACTAAACTGTAAATCTATTAAAGCTGAACATAACTAAGTTCTCCTTTCTTCTTAGATATGGTTTTGCACGTACTTATATTTCAGTACTTCACTGTATGAAATGTCTTGCACATACTTATATTTCAGTACTTCACTGTATGAAGACCTATTTCACACTTATCATATTAAATATTCCTATTCTTCGATTGAGTTGGCATGATCATTTGGATGAAAGTTGAAAATGTATGTGAAGTGCAGAGAGATTGACCTAAACTGGTGCTATTACATTTTATAGAAGAAAGGATACAATATACGGAAGTAGGAATTTATTTATTTATTTTTTGGAGAGGTCCAAAATAGAGAGGAAGACAATCAATTGGAAATGTTTCCTGGCGCCTTGTATAGAAACTCGAAGTTCATTTGTCTTCTGATCTTCTCTATTCAACGTGTTTGACTAAATGCTTTTGGCATTACACGTTACAATCAGTCTTGACTTCGATTCTATCTGTTTAAAGCTCCAGTGAATAAATATTATATATGAATTTTTTATTCAATGACATTTTCACTGAGCATGAAAAACCTATCATTGCTAAGTATGGAATGACTTCAATGTGATTATATTTGCAGGAGGTGCATGACTACTTGAAGACTATTTGTCCAGACTTGCATATTGCTCGAGGTGAATATGATGAGGAGACATGTTACCCGGAAACAAAAACACTTACTATTGGTCAGTTTAAGCTTGGAGTGTGCCATGGTCATCAGGTGTGATTTCATTTCCTGAGATGTTTTATACTATCTTGAGTTGAGGATTGTTATTGGTTTTCCTGATCATCAGGCATGGACTGTAGTTGGTTTTAAAAAAAAACCGGAACTAGAAGATTCCATGCCTTGCGTTGTATTGCTTATTGAGCAGTGGCTGAACAAGTGACAGTACATAGTACATCTTTTAGAATTATACAGTCTAGAAGCTTCGTTTTGTGTCCTTGTTCTTCTTTTCACTAGTTTTTCATGCGCTCGTGGATCAAAACATTTGCTGGAATGATTGAGAAAAAGAGAACCATAAACACTGAACGGTCCTCTTGAGAACTAAAAAAATTCTGGTGAAAGTCATTTACGGATTCACTTTTTTGAAGGTTATTCCATGGGGGGACCTGGACTCACTGGCCATGCTCCAGAGGCAGCTGGATGTAGACATTCTTGTCACCGGTCATACCCATCAGTTTACAGCATACAAACACGAGGCTGGAGTCGTTATAAATCCAGGGTCGGCAACAGGGCCCTACAGTAGTATCACTCATGATGTCAATCCAAGCTTTGTTCTCATGGACATTGATGGGCTGAGGGTTGTGGTATACGTATATGAACTCATTGATGGAGAGGTTAAGGTTGACAAAATTGATTTTAAGAAAACGGCATCAAGCTCTTAACCTCATGATGTGAAAAGTAGTCGTGGATGCATTCATCAGAGTGTATCAGCCAGTGGATGAATATGCATATGCTTGCATTCGGAACTTGATTTCACATATTTTTATTTGTTTCGTTTTTCATTTCCTTTCTTGGTGGCGCTTATACAACTGTTGCCTAAGGCCATTTTCTTATGGATTTGGCTTGATTGGTAGGGATCATAGATTTAGTTTTCTTCTTTTTCTTTTTTTCCCCCTACAAAATATTTTTCTTTGGTTGCTTTGTAATTCTAAAACTATGCACAACTTATCAATTAGTTGACTTCTAATTTGAAATTTATAATGAACGTCGGATTTATTATGCTCAAAAATGTCCAATCCGTTACGATGAGTTGTTTTGACATCACTAATTGTGCACTTATTCGAAGAAAATCGGTTTTATGGCAAGTAGAATTGGGGTGCTAAATGAAAATTTATAATAATAGTAGGATTTAGAAATGTCCAATATGTTACGAGGAGTTGTCTTCACATCGCTAATTGCGTGTTTGACTATTTGAAGAAAATTGGGTTTTTTGCAAGTAGAAATGGGATTCTAAACTAAAAAATAAGCTTGGATTGTTGAACATCTATCCAACAAATGTCATCACCATAACTCGCCCGAAAAACCATTTTGGTCCTCGATTATTATGCAAGGAAAATTGCATTGAATAATAATGCATAATTGTGATGTGGGCCCAGGACAAGGATAGAAATGTATTTGACGCAAACAATCGATGACTTGTTAAGCTATGTAAACAATCTAAATTACGACATGCAATGAAAGTATCAAATTTTGATAAAATTCTCATTGTGCGTCATTTTTTGCTCATTATTAGGAAAAAAAATGTAGTTGTTATAAAATGAAAGTCGCGAGATAAAAGTCAAAAAAAAGAGATAAATGTGGCCTATAAATGATAACATTTCTTCTAAAAATGGAGGAAAATGGCAAACAAACCAAACAGGGTCTAAATGATTAATTAAAATTTAAAACCAGATTACACAACCCCTAATAGTAACAACAAACAATCTTCCTTGTTACTTATTTGACCAAAACGGCTAGCAATTTGAAATTTGAAATTCGAAACTGCAATGAGAGAGAGAGAGAGAGAGAGAGCGTAAATGCCAATGTCGGGACCCAAATGCTGATTAGCCGTTCCGTTTGGAATGTTTTTTTTCCCGCTCACCCTTTAAACTTTTCTTCTATAAATTTACAAATCCTCTCATTTTCTCTCTCCGTCTTCTCATTCATCTCTTAAACTATGGACGATTCTGTCGCCAAAGTTCAATCTTCTGCTTCTTCTGGTAAACCTCTATTAGAACAGGAAGAATTTGTGTGTTATACTATTTAGTTTTGTAATCAATTGATGGGCGAATTTTATTCTGTGAATGCAGGCAGATCAGCTACAAGGCTTCTGCGGTATCCTCTCCGATCTGCCAACAAATCCAAGGAGGAGAAGCCACCGCTCGTTGATTCCTCAAACTCATCTGCCCATAACAGGTTCTCTCTCTCTCTCTCTCTCTCCATGTTATTGATTTTTTTATTTTTTGTATTATATATAGTACTTTTATTTAGCTTTTAATTCTTCTGCAATTCTCCACTCTTATTAATTCCGGGTTTTCTTTTGATTGTTAATTCCGGGTGCATCTGGTGGATGGATTGAAGATAGAAAAGATATCTTACAGTTACTTTCGGTTATTTATTTTTCATTTAACGATTTGGCCACAGGAGTAAGAATTAGATCACCCCACGAACTGAAGAATAGGTTTTTTTTTTTCTTTCGCTTTTAAATTTCATTAATTATTTTTCCTCGGAAGTAATTACTCCCTTTTAGGAAATATTTGGTCAAATTGCAACGGATATGGACAGCTATGATCAAATTTTTCATACAATTTCTACATAAATTGATATTTTATCCATCGCAATTGTTGCCAAGATGCATAAATGAGTCTTGGATACTTCACTTGTGAAGACATATATGTAGCCAATATATATCAAGTATAAATTAAAAGCTGAAAGACTTGTATAAATTAAAATTTTTAAATTTGGCTGCTGTTTCTTAATCCAAAGATGGCAGATGATAGTCTATGATATAGTGTAAGCTCAACCTAGAAAATCAGAGGGAATATGAAAAATGATGCAGAGATGTATAACATTTTCATTACAATTCATTTCCATGAAACTATCACTTAATATCATTTTTGGTGTATATATTTAGGGGAAAGCTTGCATCAAGTGTGAGTAAAAGTGTTAGTGTTCTTGATCTGTCTGACAAGAAGGTGGCTGCCAAGCCACCAAGAAGGCTGTCTGTTCCTTCCAAGCCAACCGCCAGCCCTGCTCCAAGAACTATTGGCAATATCACTCCAATTTCTGAGACGAGGGCAAAGAGATCTGCCAGCAAACACGGGACAAGTAGTGATACACCAGTCTCTGATGTTTCGAAATCATCAAGTCGAAAGAAATTCAGTGTTCTATCATCAGCCTCTTATTGGCTGTCTCAGATTAAGCTCTCTGAATCTGCTGCTAAGCATTCAATTTCACTAGGTTTCTTTAAACTTGCTTTAGAGGCAGGATGTGAGGTATTGTTAAATGTGTAATTGAAATTCTTTTGTTGTTAAATTCATGCGTGAACTTTATATTTTTATATGGGAACACTGACCTCTTGTTATAAATGCATTATCTATTTCAACTTTGTCTCAGCCTTTGCAGCGAATGAGGGACGAGCTAAAATCATATGTTCACTCCCATAACCTTTGTGAACTTGGAGAACCTTTGAGAGAACTATTTGACAGCTATGAAATTTCAGAGAAATTTGAGCAGTCAAATGTCTCTGATACCGGTTCTCAAATGCCTGGAGAAGGAAATAACTCATCTGATGGAGATGTTAGCTATCCTTCTTCTGTAACAGATTCTGAGAAGCCGAAGCCCAAGGCACTGGACATTGATGTTGATGTAAATTGCCAAGTTAAAAAACCAAACAAGGAAACGCCTCAGATGAATGACTCTTTAAAGAGGAGCAGAAGATCAGTCAACAAGAATGTGACAAGCGCAAAGTCTCCTTCAGAAGTTCAGAATCACAGCACTCAAAAGAAACCCCAAAAACCAACAAAGCAAGATGTTACTAAAAAGGGGAAGGTGATGAAACAGGGAAAGAAGTCTGATCCTGGAGAAGGTAATTGCACCAATTCTTTTACATTAAATAATTTTTTTCTTTAAAATTCTTGTTTGGTAGTCCTAATCCTAATAACTGTTTCTTTTACTGTTGCAGGTCCCCTTAACACTCCACCAGAAGTATCACTTCAAGAAAACAAAGAGAACATGGTGAAGAATTCTGCTAGACAATATTACCTTCAAGAAACTTGATTAATTTTGTGATTTGTAAGAAATTCTAATTTTGCATATTTCCCTGTAGGCTGCTTCTCAGATGGAAGAGATCGGATCGACTGATGTTCAAACTACATCGTAACCTAAGCAATGCTTAAAGTTTACTAAGTATTATTTGGTGTGGTCTTCATGGTTTTAGTTGGAGCCTCTTCGTACGTATACATTACAGAAAAAAGCTTTATTGTGTGAAGTTTGTAATTTTCTTGTCTCTCTGTTTTGGGAAGTGAATTAATTACTTTTGTCAATCAAATCAATACACAACTTATTTCTTTGAATTGTATTTAGTTAAAAGAAAGTTGAGAAATTTACAGAGGTTTTATTTTGAATTCAAATCCACCTCATCATGTTACTTGCCACAAAATTTATGAGCCACAAAAGATAGAGAGTGGTAACATAGATTCCAAGAGCAAGTGCATCACAATTCCAAGGAAAATCAATGCATAACGTTAGAATACATGACAAGGCACAACTCAACGTCTTATATAGTCAGTCCTAGAAGCTATCACAGGACTTGTGTCACAGTCGAAAAAGTTTGCTTAAGTGGTACATTTTACTTGAAAGTAGGTTTCCAAACTCTTGCATTGATTCGTCAACTGTTTTCTATGCATCAAAGGTCAATCAGCTGTCCAGCTCTGCTCCACAACTTCCCTTACCCTGCGATTATATTCTCGCTTGTTCTCACTGAACATCCGAGCAGCTTCAGAATTTGCAGGGGAATTAGGGTTCGGATCACATAACAAAGACTGCAATAATATTGAAAAATCGTGCAATTCATTAGAAGCACAAACTGTTATTAAATAACTAATTAATAAATCTAAAATCGAGACAGCTACCAGTAATTTTAACAGATAATGGTTATGCAACTTATAAGAAATCTGCTACTCTGTTTCTGTGTGTTCTTCAAGCAGGAACATATCCTACCTTTCATTAAATAAGCATTTCATCTTTTTTCTCTTCAAATAGCAGATAATACGTGCCAGTGAGAAATTTAATCAAGGCTCTTGCATTTCACACACTGAATCTTTTGACACTGGTTGCCATACAAAGTCGAGCCACATTCAGTAATTTGTTCTAGAAATTCGCTGAAGTCCAGCATTGGATAGTCAAAGAAACACGACATATTTATTTATGAAAAGTTGCCTAATGATTTGTATGGATTGCAACTTGAAAGCGGTGAAATTATATAATGATCCATAAGGAGACCCCAGAACCTTTCACAGAAAGCAAAAGCTCTCAGATTATAAGACACGTGATTAACAAAAGTTGTAATGAAATAAAATTGAACGTTGGCAACATTGAATTGGAATACATATAGTTGGTGAAGAAGTAATTAAAAGTTTCTCTTGACAAAGGAAAATTATTAGAATCAGAATCAACAACCCTCTGGTTTATATCTTTGAATAGTGGTTAATTTTTCCATTAACAATACAGCATCAAATGATGGATCCTTCATACGAGAGAACAAAAATTGACATTTCGTATCTCCCACTAATCACTAAGAACAAAGGTCTATGATGCTTGGACTCGAGTACGAATACGTATCTAAGTATCGGATTTTTTATTTTTTTAAATCTAGGTTACGGGAACATTGCTAAAAAGAGTCCAAATTTAGAATAAGGTTCGTGATTACGTCTTTCAAACTTCAATTTTTCTTTAATTTTCCCTCCATTCATGGATAACATGAAATATATTTTTAATTATTTTTAGATTTATTATTTTCTTAACAATTGCCAAGATTTGGGGCTTCTTTTTATAATTCTGGGCCTCCTATTCTGATCCCATTTCATTTACCAAACAGCCCACCTACCCAACAAAACCTTCCCAACATCAAGCCCAGCCCCATATTACAGCCCACACAATAACACCTTATAATTCCATCCCCAAAACTGGCTCATCCTCCATCTATCTCTCTCTTCCACCCCCAAAAACCCTAGATACAGCTGTCTCCAACGGTGGAACTGTGTATTGGAACAATTAGAGGCTTCTGAGTGTATTGAATTAGAAGGCTTTTATAGAAACAGGAAAGAAGAAAAGGGAGAGAAAAAATAGCGTAGAAAGAAGAAGCGGCAAAAACGGCACCGTGCCCGCTTGAAATTTAGAGGGTCTAACACACATCCCATAGCCGTACCCATGTTGTCTCATGTCGACGCGGGTACTACGGCCATTTCAAAGAGCCCGAGCATCACGGGTAAAGGTGTAGATGAATTTCTTCCTTTGACGTCTACATTCTATCACCACTTCACACAGTGGTAATTCAGTTCCGTGAGCTAAACTTCATGCGAAAATAATCCAAGTTGTATCAAGGAAACTTATTCCATATGCATGAATATGTTAAATTGATTTTTTCAAACACATCTCCTCACTCTAATCTTATTTTATACATGGAGACAAATCCACATTCATTTTCCATACGCATCAAGACGCAAAAATGGCAGTGAGAAAGATAAATACACCTTTCAGCTCTATTCAGTACAATTTTGCAAAGCCAACTGGGGTGTTCAACTTGAGATGGAGAAAGTACATAGAAAACCTACTCTACTCAAGACTAGCATGTGTAGTAGCAAGATTTGCCACGGTACATGGACGATATAATAATAGGATAGATTATGAACAAACACAGGAATATACAATGGAAAGAAAATTGTAATAGTGGTGGAATGATAATTGCAAATCAGAAACATTGAGTAATTCCAAATCAATGACAAATTCAATTACAGACATCCAATCTAGGGTCATATTAAACAAAACAACACAAAATTTTGGAAAAAAATTTCATTGATGTATTGAAATTTCGATTAGGTATTAAATTCAAGAATATCTGCCTTCAAACGTTCAGGACATATAATTGACCGAAGCCAGTAAGCTGCCTTTTTTCCTTGGATTAAAAGATTATTATTAACGGAGACTAGAAAGAAAGAAATACAAATGCCAAGGTTCCTCAACATTTGGGAAAAAGAAATAAGAATTGAGGACAGCATCTGTCATCCTCAGAGCACATCTAATAAACCCAAATCCCTCACATCTTATGAAGGCCGCACCAATTCCAGTAGGTCTAGAAATTCCTTAAGAAAATGGAAGTAAAAAAAAAAAAAAATTTACTGCCAATAAAGTTTGGCGTCCTCGATGGGTCAACCAAAAGTATATGCATGCATGAAAAACTGAATATTCCAACTAAAATGATTGAATTATGGACGACCAGATTAAGTAAAAATTAACATGAAAAATTGTAGATGAGCCTCTCCACTGCAGATTTGAAGACAACGAGTAGCTAAGACCCACAATATTTTATGTCTCTTAAGATTCTGAAGGCATCTGATATTTTCCAAAGTAAAAGGAAAAGAACAAGTAGCACCCTTGCCCTCAGGTTGAAGCTTATACCAAGAATTAATTTGTTGGTCAACATAGTTTTGCTTAAATATTAGCAGATTTATGAGTTTATCTTAATGCGAATCGGTATGTTTTAGAAGAAGAGGTAGAGGTATAAAAATCCTAAATACCAGTAATTGTCATTACACACTGTAATATTCTGACGTCAAGTATGAAATATTAAGAGTGCCCCAGTTTTTCTCTAGACAAGTATACCCCGAAGAGATCTATTTTAACTAGTGAAGAAGGTGGGACTTGAGCGTCTATTTAAAATCACACTTGAATTTAATGTAACCAGCACCTGTTATCTGCACTAAAGAAAATGCAACACCTCAGCAATAACAAGTTCTCGAAACAACATACTTGGCCTTTGATCAGTAAATCATATGAACCTTCACTACTACTTATAAGGGTTAAAAAGATAAGCACCATAAAGTACACTCCATCTGCAGTTCTAATCAATAAAGAAAATGCCATCTCCACAGAAGGTAGTTAATTTATCATCTTATTTAGCAGTGCAGATCCCTTGAAGCAGTAACATCACTCGCTAAAGTTAACCAAAGGAATGTACCTGGACAGAAGTAAGAATAGCAGCAACATCATATATTGGACTCCACTGATTTTGAAGGATATCCAAACATATACTTCCGTCTGCATAAACTGATCAAAAGATAAAATTCTAAGTCAAAGATCACATTAAGCTACACAAATCCTTCTGTATGGGCAAGTCTTCAGATATTGGAAGGTAAAAGGCCACATTAACCTATGGTTTACTTTAATACTATAAACTGAATTTCATTCACAGAAAGTTATGGTATATGGATCTTACTATTGGGATGAAACATCCGCGAAACAAATCGCACTGTTGGAGGCTTGTTTGGGTAATCTTCAGTGAATTGAAGTGTTAACTTGAACGTACCTGACACGCTCAAAGAACATTTTATGACATTTGAGAAACAACAACATTATAAAATTAAAAAATAAAAAATTACTGCTTCAATCAACAAAGCAAACATCAGATTTCAAAAGATTAAGATTGTCCTATTGTTGCCGTAAATACTTTGCAATTATTTTATGTTAGCCATGAGTTATTAGATCTTTCTAAATATGATTTGCAGCCTGGCATAAACATAATAAGCGCAAGAGAGCATGTGAACTTGTATCCATTTAAAGATAAATGGCTTTTCGCTACTTTATTATTTGTTATTACCCTCTATGAACAGCTTGGATCAGATCCTAAGCTTTACATCTCATTTTTTTGGATGGTCGAGTGGAAGTTGAATTGCTAAACAGTTGATAGAATATCACGTCTCATTCAGAATTTTTCATCTTTTACAACATCTTGTATCATTCGCATTGTGCAAATACGAGATGAGCCATGAGATGAAAATCTCACACACGATTTTGATACAATTATTATTTTACTTGTATAATGACACTCAGAAATGTCAGTTCAATCAAAGAAAATTATGAGGAAGATTTAACTATTCGGATCAAGGACTTAATCTCAAAATTTGATGAAAGGGTGAATGACCAGGAAAGCATGTTGCTCTAGTTTTTGTTGGAAGTTGAATGAAAAACATAATGGAAAGATAATGAAAAACAGTTTCAATTTTCAGCATTATTTCAGTATTCATTTCAGCCATTATTTTCAGACATTATTTCAGTTTATAAAATATCAGTTTCAGCAGCCCTCAACCGTTCCCTCTTCTTCAGTTTCAGATTTCATTCATGGAATTGAATGTGCTGTAACTCCTCTTTCATGTCACTCTCCATTCAATGCATTAATGGGTTGGCTCATCATCTATGTGTATAAATAGAGGAGCACTCAGTGAGGAAGGAGACAACAAAAACAACAAACACAAAAGAGAAACACACGAGCTTTCCTTCCACTTTCCAGTATCATATTTGCGCCCGGGTTTAGATTTCTTTTCTGATTTCTTTGGGAGATAGAGTGAATCACAGCTGGTTCGTAGGTCGGTAACGTAGTGCAGCGTGGACCGATAACCGATTGTATCCTGGGAATCGAACACCGATCAAAACCTCGTGCACCTCGGTGCGGTGGCGAATTCGATTTAAGGAAACAGTGTGAACACGGGCCTTCGGTTTGATTATCTACTTTGATTCACCTTTATTTTATCCCACAGTTTTTTCCTACCCTAGCCTTTCAACACCTTTCATAGTTATGTTATTAATCTTGGCCGTAGTTCAGATACTCTTTCCAAATTTCATGATCAAGATGAGATACTAGTATTTTTTTTGGATAGGTAAGATGAGATACTAGTTGAAAAGCATGGACATTTCTACAAGTATATTTTTTTTGATAAGTAAAGAAAGGGTTAAAGTATTTCTACAAGTATATCCAACCAGTCCTGCAATCGTGCATTTTTTTTTTTCTTTTTTTCTTTTTAATTTCAGAAATCACAGATAGAAATTAGAACTGTTTGGTGAAGCTCTCTACTTTATATATTAGGACAGGAGCTACAAATTCCAAAAACCGCCACGACATTATGCACTTTCTAACTAATGCAAGTCAAGGTTTCACCATGTGTCCGTGAAGTCCTATTTTCCAAAAAATTACTCTTAACCTAAAGGAGATAAGGCATCCTCTATACTTAAATTAAAACCAAACAGTCTACCCCATGCAGCATAATCACCATGCGTACACAGTATAAAGATAGGATTGAACCATCTAAATTAATGCAAAGCAGCTCGGAACCATTTTCCTTTTCTTCGTCATATGTAATTGCATTGCAATACTTCACTTGAGTGGTCAAGAAAAAGCCAGGAGATGTTTACCCAGTCAATGCATTGACAATGACTTGTGAATAAAAATTATACGCCCTTGTAGTATGAAGTGTGAACCACTCCACAGTGGGTTTCACATTGAGTTAAAGCATACAATCAAAAAAATATTTTCCTTAATAAGTGTCTCGTTCTCTGTCTTCTAAAAGGGAATGAGTAAGTCTTCCAAATGATTTTTTTTTTATCTTGGGAATACAAGAGAGTAAATAGTTTTTTTTTTTTTAATTACCGTGGATGTCCGGACCAGCTTGCGCTCACCTCGACTAATCCCACGGGGCGCTGAAGTTTACGGCCGGGTACTCACCTCAGTGGGTTCGAGGGGATTCGAAACAAGAAAGTAAATAGTGGCATCATACTAGTTTATGTTGCATGAGGACTATCTATCCAGTAAATTGGGTATGAGTAATGATTGAGAACCTTTTTCCAAAAATAAACATAAAACACAAAATAATTATTGTGAAGCTAAACGAACAAAATAACAAAAGATGGAAACAAATATACGAAAAATGATAAATTTCTATACAAAATCGTAGCAGGAGAAGGACTCACCTCCATCCCAAGGTGTATCATCAGGACTGCAAATGCACATCAGAAAAGGAAAGGAACCACATAACATGTTATCCACCGATACTTGAGAAATCACAATACAAAGTATATAGAAAATAAGCAAACATATAAAATGATGAATTAATAAAAGACAATTTGACAATAATGAACATTGTAATGTTCAAGCTCACCCAAATATAACAGCATTCCAAAACATAATATTGTTGTCTTGAGGGGCACCGCTGATACCTGCAGGAGGGTCCTGCTGCAACCTCTTGAAATCCCTCATAAGTCTCTTCCTAGATGGAGTCGACATCCTACTTATCCACATATCAGAACAGTTAATCGCATTAATAAGCAGCAAAAACAATTAAAAGCATTTAATTTTAAAAAAAAAAGAGCAAAGGAGAAAAACAGCAAAAAATCATTCTAACAACTTTTCATCAGCAATCTAAATGATGGGCTCGATTTACAATCAAGCAGCACAGATACCCACAACAAAATAATTGATAATGACAGAAAACCAAATCTAAACTGCATTTAAAAAAGAAAAAATAGGGTTGTCCAATTCCAGAATATGGGCAGCTAAAACAATCTAAATAAAACACTATCAAATAACTGTATAATTCAGCCGAAAATAGCAATTGATGACTTTTTTATTACACCCAGAAGGGCCAGAATATTTATCATCATCATCTAGAACTATAAAAACCCAACCAGAAATTCAACAAAAATTAAAGGGTTCGTTGCTGTAATAATAAAGAGTCTGGGAAATCTGTCCCCCAATCAAGATCTACTTTAATACACACATTTATGTATGTTTACATGAATATTTACGTCACCTGTGAGGGGGCTGAAAGATAAGGCCTTTAGGTTGAGGGTGTGGAGCTCGCAATCAAAGGAAATTGTATATATTTGTTGGAATTTAGTATGTATGTATAATGTACGTATAGTTTGCGTCGGCTTCTGTCACTTCGTCGGCAGTCCCTACGATCTTTTAGGCAACCCACTTGGATACGTATCTAAACGAATAAGCTATTATTGGAAAGAAAAATTACCAACACCATCCCCAAGACCCCAACTATCCCATCATTGCAATTTTGCCCCTAACTTTTATTTTGCCACAAAATCAAACCTCAAAATTTTGAAGTGAGAAACAAAATTTTTTTACAGAGACATTTTTACAATTAATCTAAACAAATAAAAAAATGAGTAAATACTAAAAAGAAAAGAGCAACGATAATTGAAAGAATTTCTACCACACCTCGACTATTAAGAGTTTTGTTTTAAAAGAAGACAAATATTGGCTTATTATAGTAATTATTTAGTAATATGGGGAACTTAAGGTGGTAGAATTGAACATTGATGTACGAAGAAAGAATTTATTTTTTCTTTACTATTTTTTTTTTATAAGCTACCCATTAAAGGTCAATTTATTTACAAAGTTAGTGCAATTGGTCCGAGTTCATACTACTTGAAAATGCGGGTTCATACTATTTGAAAAATAATACATTTTCAAAGTTAGACCTACATAAGATTGCGGGTTCATACTACTTGAAAATGCAGAGTGGTCCGATTTTGATTACAAAGTTAGCGCAATTGGTCTTTTCTTATTCGGGCTTTTAATAATGCTCTTTTGACACTCTAATGACCTACGTAAGATTGTGGGTTGATCCCTTGAAAAACTTTGATGCTTAAGTTAATAAAAAAATATTTATAAAATTGGAAAAAAAAAATGAAAGTGCAAAGAATATGGTTTAGTTATAAATTAGATTTTTAGTATATTTTAATAAAAATTGATGAAATGTGTAGTTAAGAAGTCGATAAAAATTGTGAACCTATAAAATGTATGGTTGAAAATAAATTTGGTAAAAAATGAGTTTTAGAACGTTAAGGCTAAATATGAGTTAAATTTTTAGAAACATTTTTTATTTGAGTTGTTAAATTTTATAATAATATAATGAAACATGCTACAAGTACATGAATTCAAATTCCAGTACCTACCAGAACACACACGGCAAGGGTGGGTGGATGAGGTTTTTTGCCAATATTTTAATTCACATGGGGCCACCCTATGAGAGTTAAATTCAAAAATTTGTATTAATTCTGTTATTTTTTCTTTGTACTCACAGCAATTTTCTAATATAATTGAGTAATGCACTTTAAATTTCTTTTATTTTATTTTTTGGACTATTTTTAGTTTTTATTAGTTTTAAAATTTCTGTACTATTTTAGCTTCACTTTTTCTCCCATTCCAATCTCTCAATCATCGGCTTCCCTTATTTCGTGTTGTCATTGATTGCAATATGTCACAACTGTAGCAGTTGATCGCCATTCATCGTAGACGTTGTACAAGTTGGCTTAGCGGTGCCATTGTGGACATATGATGAGCATGTATTACCTAAAATTATGATTAATCAAGACATTATTGTGATTATCATGATTGCCTATTCACGATATTTTAATCCCTACTGGCTACTACATTTTGAATGGACTTTGTATTGTGTTTGGAGCTTCTCGCCTAATATCTTACAAGATAATATTAGTGCTGGTTTTCTTTGAATCTTAAACTTATGTTCGAGCCTCATTTTTTGTTGAAAATAAGTTTTGTCATAGTGAACTTTTGGAGAATCTGTAGTTAAAAAGTATAAAAAATAAAAATTGGATTTACGTACAAAATATCTTATTATGAGAATGTGTTGGTTGAAAATGAGTTTGAAAAAAAATGAATTTTTGAATTCCTATTTTTGCCATTTATGTAAGACAGCAAAGATTATTGTGATTGAAATTTAAAAAAAAAAAATGAAAATTTTCAAAAGCAGTTACAAACTGGAAAAGTTCAGGAAAGAAGTCAAGAACGCTAAAACAGTTAAACTATTTATGGGCCTAAATATATGTTGGCCCAATGCACATAAAACACCTAATCACCGGCAACTCAGGCGCCAAATTGACCTTACCAATAACCACCTCCATCCTTTGAACTTCTCCTCCTTTTTCCTGCGCCGCCGACGCAGGGGCACCACCGCTACGATTGCCAATGACTATGCTGGAAGTGATTACCAAAGCTTCGTCCACTTACCCGAACTACCCCGACCCAGATTCCAACTACCCCATTGTGTTCAACCCAGACCATATTATCCTCAAACTAAAGCCTGAAACCGATGAACTGAAAGAGGAATACCTTGTTAAACGGGTTAACGGATGGGAAATATCGCAAACGGACGCTGAAATAATCGAAGCAGGGCAAATTTTTTTCAAGAAGTTGAAAAGAAAGTTGAAGAACACAAACACATTTAGACAAGAAGAATTCTTGGGAATGTTCACTTCTTACTTGGAGAAAAATGGGGAGAGAGTTGGGATTTCCGTAGGCGTTGATAAGTCAGAAGAAGGGTATGCTCGTAAGTTGGTTGAGAAGTTAGGGTTTTCAATGGGTAGGGATGTGAAGAGCTTGATTTTGGAGGCCTGTGTTGCTTTGGAGGTTTGGGATGCTTTGGAGAGTTTGATAACTAATGGGCTTGTTGAACATTTATGTACATCCAATCTGGTTCACAATTTGATAGAAAAACGGAGGTCAGATTTAGTTGTTTTATGTGTTAAGCATTTATCTGATCTTCAGAAATATGATTTAATGTGCATTTTGAAGTATTTTTTAATGCTGCCCCGGGATGGATATAAGAGTCTAGTTAGTGTGAGGAAGGAGTGGGAGAACCAAGCATTGTTAGCCATAGAGAAGGTGAGTGATAGGGGCCTTGTTGGGAAACAAAAGTGCTTGGCGAGGGAGGCTTCATTTTTGCTCATGGTGGCGCATGATGAATTCACTGTGTCAGAATTGTGCTTGCATTATTTGCTCGCATCTCGGAATCTTGATGAGGTGATATTTTCAGCTTGTGTTAGTAAGTTGAATGGTGAGGAGATGATGGCTTTGATTAAGTACTTGAGGAAGTGGCTGAGGAAATATGAGAGATTCCCTCAAGTGGTTCCTTGTCCTAAGGCATCATCTTTGTTGGGGTTGAAGGAATGTGATTGGGTTCCTACTCTTGAAAACGTTGTGAAATGTCTTGGATTGGTTGTGGACGAGCATTTCTCTTCTTTGGTTTTGCATTCGGAGTTTCATGACGAGTTGAGATCTTTAGAAGAATTGGTTAGTTCCTTAGCTGCTGAAGCACGACTTTGTGGTACTTTGGCAAATTTGACTGAAAGATCTAGAACTTTACGCCAGGGTATGTAACTGAACTTGATCTTGTGTTTTAAGGCATAATTTCTTTGATTTTAAGCTTGTACGTGGAGTGTGTTATTTTTTATGTGAGTCAAGTACACAGTCAATGAATATTATCTATAATTGGAAATTTACATAATTGCAATATGCTCTAGGTTACTTCTTCGCCTAGGACAGTGTGGGTTGACTGTCTGGGTCTGCACATTGGCGATTTTTGGAACACCTCATTGTTTGAGATTGTGGCACTGGATGAGATACCTTACAAAAACCAATCTTTCCTCTCCTGATAGTTTCTTAAAGAAGAGCAAATTATAGAAAGTGTAAACTGAATAAAGTATGATTGGGGACAAATGTGACTCTGTGAGTTCAGTCTTGCCAAGTTAATGCCGAAGTCAAATTCTGTACTCACTAAAATCGAGAATTTGAGGGCTGCTTTAATCAATTTAAGAGGCTGAAATGATGTGGGAATATTGGGATTATAATGATATATAACGAACGGGGATGGGTTGAAACTGGAGCAATAAAGTGGTGAAAAAGATTACTTTTGTGCTCTAGTTGGCTGCTGTAAGCATTCCTAATGAAATATAAGGTTTTCTTCTATTGGAATGTTGAGTGATTGAGAAGTAGGGTTCTGGAAATAGATTGGATGGACTCAATGATTAGGAATGTTAGATCCAAAGAATTGTGTTGGTTTTGCAAGACTTCATATTGCTAGAAAATTGAAGAAAGATTTCTTTTGTGATGTGAGATTGGAGTCCGAAAATGGTGACATAAAGCAGAGATTATGTTAGCTGACAAAAAAATAAAAAAATGGAATGATGGATTTTAAAGCTGGAAGAACGCCACTAGCTCACCATATTTGGGAGCTCAGTCATCAAACATACTGTTGCAAAGTAGATCTTAGTTATCGAGTATTTTTGTTGTAGGAGAAGAGAAATGCCCCTGTTTCGATGTGCTCATTTTGATAATAAGCCCCTTTTTTGTAGAGATTAAAATCATATTTTTTGTATATTTTGATAGAAGTTGATGAAATATGTAGTTGAAAAGTTGTGGATCCCATGAAATGTGTGGTAAAAATTAATTGTTGACTTTGAATTGAGATTTTAATTAAATTTTAATCCAAACCAAACAGGGGCTAAGAGTTTTAAGTACCATGCATTCCCTTGATTATGATTTATGTACAAATTGGGGATCCTCCAACGGCCGATGTTGTGGGGTGAAATGATAAGGTCAATTAAATGTGTGGATATGAGAACTACTATATTGATCTTATCATTTAATATGCTCCCTCACATATGATCATCCTTAGTTTGTATTTCATATGATTTATCTGCTCTGGGACTTTGAGAAGTCGTAGCATTTTGTTTTTCGAATGACCATAAGTTAATCTGAGTCTAGCAAGTAGTTCTGCTCAGCGATTTTCCACAATTTTTTAAACTTTGATCTTAAATTATGTATGTTTATTTTGTTGATGTTATTTTTCATCAAGTGTGAATAGCCTTCCGGACATTGGTTGAAGATTAGGAGAAAATATGGATTGAGGTTGCAGCTTGGGACATGTTTTTACTGATTTGCTTTCTATTTATTCTCTCCTTGTCTTTGTTCAAATCATTATGTTCATGTTCTCCCCTGTAAATGGGCCTTTTCAAATGATGCTGGGATGACCAGCTAGCCTTCTTAGAGGGTTTAGTTTGATGGAACTTGTATTTCAAAGAAACCATCAGAAAATTTCTCTCTTAGCATAGACATTGGTAAAAATCGCCTTCTGAATAGTCTATTATTGATGGGTTGTTTACCATTAAGATGTTCACCAATTGTCAAACATTGTACTTGCATACTTTGCGTTCTCTCTTTTATGTTCATGACGGATGAAAATTCGGTCTAAAATGTTGAAAGATTTTTTTAGGAAATAGAAGTCCTTATTAATTAATATATGGCTATATGAATCAACATCATTTTGCAGGCCAGCCACAGTGATGCTTTGGAATATTATAGCTTCTTGAAGGATGATCCTTCATCTCTCTCTCTGCACGGACTATAGTAGGAGTGTCAAGTCGATGATCCATAGAAGTTATCAGGAAATATATCATCTTTTCGCTGGAGATTTAGGGGTTTGAATCAGTCGATGAGCATCAAGATTGCTAGAATGGTTGTAACAATATTTTTCCTTTAAATTTCTTAAGACTGCTTCTCCTTGTGTATCTTTCTTATACAATGCTGTGTCCTTCAGCCATTTTTGGTACTAAAGTTATCATAGTTTCTGTCATAATTCGGGGACTGTTTAGTAAATTTTTTAATTTAAAATTAGTCAGGGGCAATAAAAAATAAATAGGAAAAGGGAAAAGGGAAGAAAAGGAGAGAAGAAAATACAAATTGATGCAGCCCTCTACCCCGCTGCCTCCATTTAACAGACACGAAGAAAGCATAAGCCTTTGAATTCAAAAGAAGTCTGGCCGTTTGCCTTCAGATTCGCCAGTTTAAAGTGGAGTCTATTAACATCAATGGAACTCCCAATTCGGAAAATAGGAATGCGAAGAAGAAGATCGAGGAGAGTTGAATTTAATTCACTGGGCTACCCCATTGATTGAATTTCAATGGCATTTGACACCTCCAATTCCGTTGATGAAGACGATCAAATCCTGTATGTAGATTCCAACAAATCCGTTGATAAAGATGTTCCACAATGATTTGAAAATAACTTCGCTGTAGATGCCAAGCACGTATGAGAGATATTTGCCCCCACTATTGGGGATGCAAATAATCCTTATATTGGTGTTTGCATCATGCGCCAACGAATCTAAGGAGAGAAGAAACCACCATCCGAGATACTTGTATTTTGTATTTTAAGATGAACAAATTACGAACAAACTTAAAGAAATTAATACGAGAGTTTAATATATAAAATGTATGAAACAATTTTAGGAAGAAGACAAGAAAGAGAATTTACTTATTTCCAATATCATTAATCAAATGCTCTTCCCCCGAGTTATAACGTTTCATTAGAGCCACAACTTCGTGTACTTTTAAGTTATATAATTGAACTGGGGTGAAAGGTAACAAAAAAATGGACAAAATATGAACAGGGAAGTGCTGGAATGTAGAGAGTCTATGTGTACAGAAAAAAATACACAGAAAACATACAGAATACACACAAATAGGTGTGTCCCCCTTTTTGGCAATATTTAATTCACATGGGGGCCCACCCTCATGTGAATATCTGTATTTTTTTTGTATGAATTTTTCTGTACAAGCAGAAAAATTATGGGGGTGTGCCCACTCACAAACTTGGGGCGGGCGTTGAGTGGTTGCCCACTAGCTTGGTGCCAAACAGTCCCGGTCCCACCTTGTCCTTCACCATATTGAACCTTTTCCGAATGTTACGTTGACTCTTGAAAGCTCGTAAATGCATCTATGTCCAAACACGACATTATTTTGAAACCAATAGAAAAGAGTGTTGGAGCGCAATTAAGCAAGTAACAATAAGGGAAAAATGTAAATAAGCAAGCAAGCAATTCAAGGGAAATATTTGGATATCCAACTCCACATGTCGACCTTAAAAATTGCCAGGAGTCTTAATGTATGAGAATCTCTGAATCCTATTGCTCCAAGGATCAACTTGCAGAATAGCCTAAGACGACGTTGGATTGCCCAGCGGAGCCCTCCGACGCTGGTGAGATGCCCAAAGTTCAATGAAAGTTAATTGTCACGTCTAAATTTGTGCATTGAATCCCACTAACGGTGGATACAGTGCTTGAATTTCCTTCTGATCATCCGTTGTTGACAAAGCACACTTGTAGTGTCGCGCCCACAAGTGATAATGCAAGAAGTTCAATCCACTTAGTATGCACATTAACCAGTAAAATCTTTCTAGATGATAATAGTTCAAATTACTGCCGTAGAGCCATTGTGATCGACTAAAGGTCCCTGTTATATTGTTGACTGTAGCTACGAGCACTGAACTGAGATAATATCCCATGGCTAACGAAGCCCACAAGAGAGATGTTGCTAATGATCTCATGCTAAATGGGGCCTCTGTAAAGAAGAAATCCATCATGCCAGCCAGGCTGAACAGATCAGCTGAACCAAGGAACAGGTATTGAAGTGCCACCCAAAGGGATGTTCTTGGAAAAGGTTCCGTTGAATTCATTAGGCCGGATTGCATTGCTACTGTCTTTCACTTCATCTTGACTAAAGCTACAACAGCCATGGCCACAATTGAAAGAATTAGGCCTGTTCCTACTCGTTGTAGATGAGTAATTCCCATTTCAGTATTGGTCAGATTTCTGAAAATTGGTACTATAGCATGGTTATAGACTGGTGCAAGTATCATTATAAACAGCACGGGAAATACCAGAAGAGAAGCCGGTGGAATGGAACTCTTAAAGCTCCAACTTTAGTGTCCATGGTGGTTGCTGTAGTATTTGAACAATTTAACCTTATTTGACAAAAGTTAATGTCTGATTAATGAAATACTCGAGGAAGGAAATTTATCGCTGTCTTTTTCCATTTAGATAATTAAAGCAACTTCAATTGGATATGCTTAAAATTATTTAATGGATTCAAGAGCTGGAACTCTTAATAGCCTATTATAGTGGAAACTCATCATCACAGCCTTTATGTTTCGCAGCATTTTCCCGAATTTTTTTCTTTCTTCTTTAATCAAAGAAGCAACCTTATGTAACCCCTTCTACTGCACGCCAAACTTGTCTTTCATCAATAAATTAACATGTGGGGTTTTCATAAAATGTGGAAAATACAACTTTTTTTTCTTGATACAATACCAAACTATCTCATCTAATTGCTTAACTATATGGGATGGCGTAAATCAATTTATTTATCAACTCCTCCTCAGGGTGGTTGGAATTTTGGTTTGCACCATAAACTAAAAGTCAAAGGTCCACTTCCCAGACTAAAAGAGACAAGACAAATCAGGGTTCTTACTTGAAAAAAGGGGCACTCTAGCTAGCAGTCCCTTTCTCAGCATAATCTTCTGGTTAGTTCTCGATAGTTCTCGAGTTCTCTTTGCTTGAAAGTATGAACTTCATTTTTGAGTTGATGGACTCGAGAAGGTGGGAAGAATTTCAAAGTGAATTTCTACATCATGTCATTCCATGAAACTATACTCCGAGGGATTAGTGAGTTTAGCCAGTCTCGTACGCCATCCTTTAAGGTGTGAGAGAATAAGCGCAGTCGAAAAATATAGACAAACATGCCTTCATGACTAATCATATCGCACAGTATCAAGAAGACTTGAATATGTTCATAAGGATTTTCAGTTGATCTGCCAAATGGACCCGACTCGGTTTGATTTGATCAATTTTTGGTTTTTTTGTCCAACCCTAGAGGTTGGGATGAATTTGCTAGAAACTGTAAAAATGGGAACTGATTGCTTAAATTTCTCAAAATAATAATAATAAGGAAAAAAATTGGGTAAAGATGCGACAGCGGAGTGCAGTCAGTTAGGGTAGTACTTTTCTTTTTTTAATTGTTTTAAATGTGATAATATAAAATGACCATTTTATCTTTTAAATTGGTCAAATTTTGGTGGAGTTACTTTTTGGTTAAATAACGGCAGACCGTTTAAAGGATCTTGTTTGCATATTAATTTAAAGGTTTGGAGCATCAACTGCAAAATTGAAATGTTTAAAGACCTTAAGACACGTTTTGAAAGGTCTGAGACCTCTAGTGCAATTTATCCTAAAAAATTAAAAAATTAAATGTATAATACGACCTGAAATGCAAGTCATATTTGTTGCATGGCCAAAAATGGGAACAGAACGGAACAACAAATGTGATAATCGGTGCTAAGCAAAGATTTATGCAAAACTTGCGAAATGTTAGAACCATAAAACCCACTATTGCCAGATTCCATGTAGTTGCCTTGCGACGAAGAAGAAGAAGAACTACTACATGTTTTGTTCCTCAAATTTTGCTGATATTAATCTCAACATCGTCTCCTGGCTTTGGATGCGGCAGATATATCATTTTTGCTTTAGGATTCACCAGTTCCCATCTGAGATTCAATTGAAAAAAAACCATGTTAAGTACCTTCTTGGCACAACTAAGGGAGTGTTTGACACCCATTAAAATGGGTTGAAAAATTTTGGAATAGTGATTGATGGGAGAATGTATGGTGGAAAAGTGATGAAAAACTTTAGATTTGTGTGTAATATTATTTTATTTGGAGATTGTGTGGTTGAAATAAAAAAAGAGAATGAAAATGAGAAAGAGAATGGGTGCCAAACAAGGGCTAAGTTTCATTTTCTGGGAATTTAAGGTCTTTATGTTCACACTACAACAAAAAGGTTTGTCTATTACAATACTAAAAAACGCAACATTCGTGAATTGAGTGTTGCTTAAAAGAGTCTATCGCAACATCATATCAGTGGTTGTTGTCATTGGTTAATGTAATTGAGGTTTGCAACATAGGTCTGAAACGTTGCAAAAGTGTCTTCAATAACATTCTTTGAACGTTGCAAAAGGCTGTTTTTGTGGTAGTATCATAAACAATAAATAAATACATAAATAAAAAGCTAAGGAAATGAAGAGTTTTACCTGTATCCTACAACCAGATGATGAAGTATAACTGCGACTTGTAGTCGAGCAAGCATGTTTCCTGCACATATTCTTGTTCCTCCGCCAAAAACCAGATGTGTTCCAGCCTTCGGTTGTTCCTGAGGAAACAGTTTTAACTTTTTAGTAAAAGTTAAAAGAGTTATTTAACTTATGGATTAGCTTTCGAATGTTTGCTTACATCCCATCTATCCGAATTAAAGCACATTGGATCCTCAAAATTTTCTGGCTCTGTGTGAATATATCGAATCCAGCAGATAACCTTCCAATCTTTGGGAATTTTATAACCTGTTTGCAAGATTACTAGTTTAGATCATTGTTTCGCGCGTTTTACTCGCAAACAATCAAAAAGGGATCAAACGATTGTGTAAGGGACAAACCTCTTGGAACAAAGTCCCAAAAAGGGGTGTTTATTGAATATGAAGATTACAGTTTGGACACGAACATGATGCCTCCAAGGGGCGCAAGCACACAAATACAAGG